TGAATTTTAAATTTCTTCTTTGCTAAGAAAAATCCTATTATTTCTTTATGCTCCATTTCCATATTTAAAAAAAATAAAATAAATTCTTAACCATTTGACTGCATAGGGACTGCTTTTCTTTCTGGGCAGGTGCTATGAGAGCCAAATGTGCTGGAGAAAGAAAGTTGAGATGAATCTGGAAACCTGGGCAGTAACCCCTGCTCAGTCACAGATGGCATTGTTGGTACAATTCTTTAACCTACTTTGGATTTGCTTTTCTTATCTGTAARGGAAAGAATTGAAATAATTCCATGTGAATTATAATCACTATTTAGACATGTTAATATTATTGTAGTCAATACTTGGCTTTAGAGGTGCCCCAAATKTTTTGCAACAATTTTATATTTGGAATTTTCTTAAAAATAATGTGGAGATGTCACAGAGTGGTGAAGAGTACAGATAAGATATGAAYTGATAACTGTTGAACTTGAATTGTAGAGTTCTGATGCCATTCTATTTTTTAATGTTTGTAAATTTCCATGATAAAAAGGTTTCTAAACATTCTTAAGTTCTTCCCAGCTCTACATTTTTATGATTCTATGTTCAATAAATGCTGTATTCAGTCAGAAGTTGACTATATGCCTCTTGTAAATTTACTGTTTTTTGTTAATATTTCATGTGAGTCTGACCTATTTCTTTGACTACACAATGACTTTATTTGGATAATGATCTAGCTCTGCTACATTAGAATTTCCTTTAGTGTATCTTGAAATTAATCAGTAAATATTTAAATGGTTAATGAGAGATCCAAGATGCAGGGATAAAGTATGATTTGAAGTGAGTGAAACAAAATAAAACTTATTCTGAAAAATAACCTAAGATATTTAGACATCAATATTGATACACATTGYTTACAAATGACTAAAATTTGTTTGGAAATATAAATAGCTAATGATTATTTTATACATTGAGAGAGGATTTATTCAAAACTGTTTTTGACTGCTAAAGGCATTTTAGAAATAAATTACAAAATTGTTCACTATGTTGTATGGAAAACATCCATAAGAACACTAATAAACTTATTTCTCTGGGAGATGCAGAATTTAAATCAGTCAATTGCTGATATTTATATACAAACTCTGCACAAAAAATATTTAGCCTGCCAGCATCTGCCACTGCCACAGACACATTCAGATCAGAAGGCCCTGTTCCTTCTCATGAATTTTAATAGAATGTACTTGCAGCTGAGGACTGGCTAGCATTTCCRAGTGGTGATGAATGAGAAAACAGATCCGCCCTGGGAGTAAGGGAAGGCCAAGTCTTCAAAGGTGGCAGGAGTCTGCCTTCTCGAACATGAGGATACTCACTCTSGATCTATAACCAGGCAAGCGACATCATTTTCTTCAGCAATAATGTTAGCTGACCTGACATCATCACTGCAGACAAAAG